CGGAAAACAGGAAGCGGCCGAGCCAACAGCAACAGCGCCGGGCCGGCCGGCAGCGCGCGGGCTCCGGCACGGGAATGGGGCGGGAATGGGCACGGAGGCGGCTGCGGAGCGCGCAGGGCGCAGCGAAGCGGCTCCACACGAGACACGATGCCAGGGAACCTCCACGAGTGTGCACACGCGTGTGCAAATGTGAGGTCTGTGTGTGCGTGTGGGTGTGCTAAGGTGTAGGCAAGCCCTGGTGCACAGCGAAGCAGCTCTGCGTGTGCACACGCGTGTGCAAATGTGAGCGTGCGCAGGCCCCGGTGCTGGTGCACAGCGAAGCAGCTCCGTGTGCATGTGGGTGTGTGTGGAAGCTCTGTGTGCGCACACGGGTGTGCAAATGCGTGTGTGCAAGCCCTAGTGCCGTTAAACGTGGAAGCAGATCTGCGTGTGCACGCGGGCTGTAAAAGTGTGTGTGTGTGCACAACCTGTGCATAGCAAAGCAGCTCTGTGTGTGCATGCTCGTGCACACGTGTGTGCAAGCCCCAGTGCCATTACATGGGGAAGGAGCTCTGCGTGTGGACGTGTGGCACGTGTGTGTGCAAGCCCTGCTGCTGGTGCATAGAGAAGCAGCTCTGCGTGTGCACACGTGTGCCATTACACGGGGAAGCAGCTCTGTGTGTGCACACGGGGGTGTAAAAGTGTGTGTGTGCACAACTCGGTGCATAGCAAAGCAGTTCTGCATGAGCATGCATGTGCACGTGTGTGTGCAAGCCCTGCTGCTGGTGCATAGAGAAGCAGCTCTGCGTGTGCACGCGGGCTGTAAAAGTGTGTGTGTGCACAACTCGGTGCATAGCAAAGCAGTTCTGCATGAGCACGCATGTGCACGTGTGTGTGCAAGCCAGTGCACGGCGAAGCAGCTCTGCACGTGCACGCGGGTGTGCAAACGTGTGCGTGTGTGCATGCCCCGGTGCCAGGGCAGTTATGCAAAGCGCTCTGCGCGTGCACGCGTGTGTGTTTGCACACGTGTGTGTTTGCACGCGTGTGTGTTTGGTCGCCCTCGGGGCCGCGGGGCCCCGGCAGCCCCGGCGCTCCTGGGGAGGGAGGGCACAGGGTGAGCGGCCACGGGGGGGGTTAGGGGACCCCCCAGCCCCACGTTGGCGTTCGGGGGGAGCTTTTCCCTGGGTTGCGCTTTGCAGCCCTCATCGGGATGCTGCCAGGGTGCTCCATCCCCATCCGCATCTTCATCCCCATCTTCACCCCCATCCCCATCCTCCTCCACGTCTTCATCCTCATCTTCATCGTCCTCCGCATCTTCATCCTCATTCTCAACCCCATCATCATCTTCATCCCCGTCTTCATCCACACCCCCATTCCCACCCTTCTCCTCCTCCAAGTCTTCATCCCCATCTTTATCCCCATGCTCATCCTCCTCCACATCTTCATCCTCATCTTCATCCTCACCCACATCCCCATCCCCATCTTTATCCCCATGCTTATCCTCCTCCACATCTTCATCCTCACCCACATCCCCATCCCCATCTTCATCCCCATCCTCATCCTCATCATCCTCCACATCTTCATCCTCATTCTCAACCCCATCCTCATCTTCATCCCCGTTTTCATCCACATCCCCATTCCTACCCTTCTCCTCCTCCACGTCTTCATCCTCATCTTCATCCCCATCCCCATGCTCATCCTCCTCGTCTTCATCCCCATCTTCATCCCCATTCCCATCCTCATCATCCTCCACATCTTCATCCTCATCTCCATCCTCATCTTCATTCCCATCTTCATCCCCATGCTCATCCTCCTCCACATCTTCATCCTCATCTCCATCCTCATCTTCATTCCCATCTTCATCCCCATCCCCATCCTCATCATCCTCCACATCTTCATCCTCATCCCCATCCTCATTCCCATTCTCATCTTCATCCTTATCCCTATCTTCATTCTCATAAGCAACTTCATTCTCATCCTCATCCACATCCCCATCTTCATCCCCATCCCCATTCTCATCCTCATCCCCATCCTCATCCTCATCTTCAACCCCATCCTCATCTTCATATTCATCCCCACCCCATTCCCATTGTTATCCTCTTGACCAGGGAGGACCAGGAGAATTCGGGAGCCCTAACATGGGAGGTGGCTTCATTCTCATCCACATCCCCATCTTCATCCCCATCCCCATTCTCATCCTCATCCCCATCCTCATCCTCATCTTCAACCCCATCCTCATCTTCATATTCATCCCCACCCCATTCCCATTGTTATCCTCTTGACCAGGGAGGACCAGGAGAATTCGGGAGCCCTAACATGGGAGGTGCAGGGGAAGATGACCCTGCTGTCAGGCCCATGGGGGAGGAGAGCCCAGACCACCCGAGTCCATGGGAGAGGCCTTGGGCACCCTGTGCTCCCCTTCCCAGCTCAGGAAGCTCCCAAGGGCTCAGCTCCCGCTAGGGACCAGAGGAACCCCATGAAACAGCCCCAGATTTTCCCATGCCCATGGCCACCAACACACCCATCTCTTCCCATGATGGGGCATCCCCAATGCTCCATCCCCGCGGGGACACAGAGGGTGACAAGAGGCCGCTGTCAGGCCCATGGAGGAGGAGACCCCAGACCACTCAAGCCCATGGGAGAGGCCTTGGGCACCCTGCGCTCCCCTTCGCAGCTCGGGAAGCTCCCAAGGGCTCAGCTCCCGCTAGGGACCACAGGAACCCCATGAAACAGCCCCAAATTTTCCCATGCCCATGGCCACCAACGCACCCATCCCTTCCCATGATGGGGGATCCCCAAGGCTCCATCCGCGCGGGGACACAGAGGGTGACAAGAGGCGCGCGGCTCACCTCGCAGCACGGTGACGTTCCTCAGCATCTCCCCGTGCCGCACGTCCACCGCCTTCATCTCCTCCATGAGCATGGACAGGTTGCGCACGTCGAAGTCGAGGCGGGCGCTGAGCAGCAGGCCCCCGCACGGCGCCCCCGGGCCCCCTGGCCCCAGCCGCAGCGACCGGTTGAGGTAGCCGAGCTCCTCGGCGTGGCTGTGGAAGCCCAGCGTGCAGGAGAGCCGCACGTCGTCCAGGTAGCGCAGCATGCTGTGCACGTGCCCGTCGGTGGCGTTCACGTTGGCCGCGATGGTGCCCAGCTCCAGCTCGTGCGCCGCCATGCGCCCCTCGAGGCTCTCGAAGCGCTCGGCCGTGCGGTTGCGCGCGTGCGCGCTGTGGTAGCGCAGGTCGTGCGCGTTCTCGCCGTGCTCGTCCAGCGCCGCCGACACGTTGTCCAGCTGCAGCTGG